TCATTGTACTTCGTTCAGTTACGTATTGCTGTAAAACCTCTCAGATAAAGGTGCTCTACTACAGCAGTCTTCGAGGTCTCTAAAGAGTGGCGTAAAGTGTTTATTTACAATTACACTTACATGAATATATAACTTCGTTTCAGGTGTTTCTAGTTCTTGCCGGAGCGTTTCATATAATGCATACTGTAATATATGTTGTGACTGTAATGTGTGATGTAATGTGACTATGTATGTGTAATGTAATGTGTGTATATAATCCCATCCTGAAATATATACTTTAGGATTCTGGGTAAACAGACTACAGGCTCACGGAGACTCTGAGTCAACCCAACACTCTTGGTGACACATGAGGCAGTTCATAGTGGTGACTCTGACTCACCACCAACCTTCACCCCGTAAGTTGTGGTACAATGGTGACTTTGGTTTTCTTAATATTTTCATGTTTGATACACAGCTGAATACATCATGTGTTATCTTCTAGAGGTCCTACAGGTCCAAATACCTTCTATGGCAGTATTCTTAAAGTTGTTAATGATGGTTTTGGGGTGAGTCCTGATCACTCTTCTTATCTATAACACACTGAGGGCAGATAAGATTGTGCTTACCCTGGAAGGCGCCGTCGGGTATGTTGGCTGATGTGCGGTTTCTCGTGAGGTTAGTACCTCCAGGTTGATCAGGGGTTGGAAGGTGTCAGTTGGGATGTCGGTCAACACGTTCTTGCCGGGTTAGTCTGTGACTTCCTGTGGGAGAGCCCAGAGGAGCCTCGTGTTGGGTTTGTTGGTTTGTATATTGAGGTGTGTTATGTTCTCTGGCCCTCCGTGTGGTACTGGTGAGGTGTGGTGGTGTGGTGGTGAGGGGTAGTGGTGGTGGTGGTGAGGTGAAGTGGTGGTGGTTGGTGGGGTGGGTGGTGGTTTGGTGGTGGGGGTGTGTGGTGGGTGGTGTGGTGGGGTGTGGTTGTGGTGTGGTGGGTGGGGAGGTGGTGGTGTGGTGGTGGGGGTGGTGGTGGTGGTGGTGGGGTGGTGGTGGTGGTTGGGGTGGTGGTGGTGGTGGTGGGGTGTGGTGGTGGTGTGGGGAGTGTGGTGGTGTGGTGGTGGTGGTGTGGTGGGGTTGGTTGGGTGTTGGTTGGGGGTTGGTTGGTGGGTTGGTGGGGGTTGGGGATGGTTGGGTGGTGGTGGGGTGTTGGTGTTGTTGGTGTTGTTGTGGTTTGGTTTAAGTGTTTCTTCCTTTCGTCTCTCCCTTTCTCCTTCCTTTTCTCTCTACACTGAACCTCCTTCTCACCCTCTCCTGCATCCTGGACCCTTCCTCTCATCTTCTCCCTCTCCTTCACACCCTCCAGCACCCTGCCGATTCCTTGGGCGTTGTCATCGATGTGCTGGATCTTGTTCTCGTAGAGTGAGAGTCGTTCGAGCACCTGTGGGGCCACATGAGGCGCCCTCCTCAGCACCTTGGATCTGTGGTGAGTTGGGGTGAGGGAAGGTCAGCATCTTGAGGGAGGAGTGCCGCGTGGGGACCTGGGTGAGGGAAAGAGTGGGGAGTGAGAGGGAGGTGTGGGGGTGGGGGGGGGGGTGTGTGGAAGGTGGGGGTGTGAGAGGGGGTGTGGAAGGAGGTGGGAGGTGTGGAAGATGGTGAAAAATGGAAGTTGGGTGTGAGGGGGAGAGTGGGTTGAGAGGAAGAGGTTTGGAATAAGGGAGGTGGGGGTAGTGGGAGGAGTGTGTGGGATTGAGAGGGGAGGAGTGAGGGTGAGAAGAGAGGATATGGAAGTGGGAGGGGAGTTGGAAATGAGAGAAGCATGTGCAGTGAGAAAGAGAGTGGAAGAGGAGAGGAGGAAGCATCACCGTCAGGCAGGGGAAAAATGGGGAAAAATCTCTGGTGTAGGGGAAGAGCTAGAGGGAAACATCAAAACAGGGAAAAAAATAGAGGGAAAAAAGGATTCCATTAGAAGATCAGACTGAATGGGGGCAGGAAGGGGAAAGTTGACGTGGAGGGGGAAAGAAAGAATGGAAGGGAAGGGGGTATAGACGTGCAGGGGACGAAGAAGGGGAAAGGGAAAAGAACTAGGGGTAGACGTGAAGGAGAAAAGAAGAAAGAAGGGAAGAAAAGGAAACGAAAGGGAAAGAAAGGGAAAGGGAGGAGGGCAGAGGGCGGAATTGGAGTGGTTGAATTGAAATTAGATTATTGGGGATAGAGTGAGGGGAAGGTGATGGATGGGGGAAGGGGAAGAGGAATAGAATATCAAGTAGAAGAATGGAAGATGGGTGATAGGTGAGAGTGGGGAGAAGATAATGGGTGAGGTGAGGGGTAATGGGTGAAGTGAGGGACGGTAATTGGGTGAAGTGAGGGGACAGTTGGGTGTTGAGTGGGGACAGTAATGGGTGAAATGAGGGACAGTTTTTGGGTGAAGTGAGGGGACGGTAATGGGTGAAGTGAGGGACGGTAATGGGTTAAGTGAGGGAGATAATGGGTGAAGTGAGGAAGATAATGGGTGAAGTGAGAGTGTTGAAGTATTGGAAGGGTTTGGAAGGATAGTGATGAAAGTTGGATGGTTTGGTGGGGAAGGACAGAACACACACACACACACACACACACACACACACACTTTATTATTAGAAGCTGAAACTTTTGTGAACCTGTGGGGGGAGCTTAGCACAGAGGTCAGCACCTTTTCAGGTCAGCACTCAGCACAGGTCATTGCTGGACCAGGCACAGGTCAGCACTCAGCTTTGGTTGGCGCTCAGCACAGGTCAGCACTCAGCACAGGTCAGCACCCAGAACAAGTCAGCACCCAGTACAGGTCAGCACTCAAGCACAGGTCAGCACTCTTTGGGTCAGCACCCAGAACAAGTCAGCACTCTAGCAGGGTCAGAATCAGCACCAGTACAGGTCAGCACTCAAACACGGTCAGCACTCAAACTAGGTCAGCACTCAAACACAGGTCAGCACTCAAACAGGGTCAGCCTAAACTTAGGTCCAGCATAAACACAGGTTCAGCACTCAAACACAGGTCAGCACTCAGCACAGGTCAGCACCAGTGATGTAATACAGACCACTACTTATTCTGAGACCAAAACTTACCTTCCCAGACCAAATTCTAAATAGTCAGGGGCAGAAACCAAACACAATTTAACCTTTGTTCGCGACCGAGTAAAATGACGATGTTTTTTTGATTTTCAGTATAATATTTTTTGGGGTTTGAAATTTCCAAACACAAATATTACCAGTATTCTCTTAACCCATAACCAGTATTCTCACAACACATCTACCAGTATTCTCACAACACATTACCAGTATTCTCAAACACATCACCAGTATTCTCATCCAGTTATTTCTTACAACATTCATACCGATATTCTCACAACATATCACAGTATTCTCCTTACATCATCAGTATTCTCACAACATCACCAGTATTCTCAACACATCCTGCAGTATTCTCTACACATCACCAGTGTTCTCACAACACATCACCAGTGTTCTCTGACATATCCAGTGTTCTCTTACATCCCCCAGTATTCTCAGACACATCACCAGTATTCTCACAGCACATCACAGTATTCTCACATCATAGAATATTCTCTGACACATCACAGTATTCTCACAACCCATCACCAGTATTCTCACTGCACATCACCAGTATTCTCTGACACATCACCAGCATTCTCACGACACATCACTAGTATTCTCACAACATATCACCAGTATTCTCACAGCACATCACCAGTATTCTCACAAACATCACCAGGAGTATTCTCTGTACATCACCAGTATTCTCATAACACATCACCATTATTCTCGACACATCACCAGTATTCTCACAACTTCATCTGCCGTATTCTCTACACACACATCTCTAGTATAAACACATCTCCAGTATTCTCACAACACATCACCAGTATTCTCACAACACATCACCAGTGTTCTCACCACATCATCATTATTCTCAGACATTTCACAACAATATCTCGGCTAAATGGTCACTTTACACTCTTAAATCATCCTGGAAGAACTATGTAAGAACCTCCTTTTAAGCTGCTGGGTCACGAGAAGTAGAGCCAACGAGACAGTTAACCTGAGGAATACTGTAGGTGGTTGAGGCCCATCAAACAAAAGGTGGGCAATTAAGGCAGGTCATTGGGGATAATCTGTCCCGGTAAGAGTCGTAGAATTTTCTGCTGCCTGGTAAGCCTAGAGGCACTGTGTGTGTGTGTGTGTGTGTGTGTGTGTGTGTGTGTGTGTGTGTGTGTGTGTGTGTGTGTGTGTGTGTGTGTGTGTGTGTGTGTGTGTGTTAATCCTTTATCAAATCTGTACGTTTCTCCATCTCTGTCTCTCCATAATTGCCTCTTTTGTCTTTTTTGTCCCTAAATTTGTCCTTGTTTCTCATCCACACCCATTATGTCTCACCCACACCCTTGTGTCTCACCCACACTCGACCACACCCCCTGTGTCTCATCCACACTCGACCACACCTTTGTGTCTCACCCACACTCGTCCACACCCCCTGCGTCTCACCCACACTCGACCACACCTTTGTGTCTCACCCACACTCGTCCACACCCCCTGTGTCTCACCCCACACAGGACGAGTCACACTTTACTCACCGTACGAATATTGTTGTTGGAGAGGTCGAGGGCGAGCAAGTTACTGCCGAGGGCCGAGAGTGATGACCGCTCGATGGTGCTTACGTTACTCCTGATAATGTTGAGGTGCCGCACGTCCAGGCCCAGGAACAGGTAGTCGGAGAGCCTCTGCAGGTTACAGCTACGGAACTTCATCCAGTAGATAGTGTTGTGGTTCTTCTTAAGCACGTCGAGAGCGTTCCTCACGTGTTTCTGGTCGGCGTTGTCGCATACGATGTCCAGGCCTGTGAACGCACCGTGTTACTCACTTGAACCATACGTCTTCAAGATACTCATTGTGGCGGTGCTGGGGAGGGGAGGGAGGGGGGGAGGGGGTTTGGGTGGTAAGGCATGGAGGGGTCATGGGCATGCAAACTACTGGGGTGTGTGCAAGGTGGAGGGTTAGGTGAAGGACGTGGAGCTTGAGTGGAGGAGTGGGAGGGGGGGGGGAGAAGGCGAGTAAAAAAAAATGAGGAGGAAGGTATAAGGAGGTCGAGGTAATGAGGAAGGTCGAGGGATGGGGAGGTAGAGAGGGATGGGGAGGAAAGTGAGGGGATGGGGGGAGGTAGGAGAGGGATGGGAGGTAGAGAGGGGGATGGGAGGTAGTGAGGGAATGGGAGGCAGAGAGGGATGGGGAGGTGAGAGGATGGGGAGGTTGTGGAGGGATGGGGAGGCAGAGAGGGTGGGAGGTAGAGAGGGGATGGGGGAGATAGAGAGGAGATGGGAGGTAGAGAGAGGACGGGGGGTATTGAGAAAAGATAGGGAAGGGGCGGGGAGGAGGTAGGGCAGGGAGGAGAGGATACTGCTACTAAAGGAGGGATGAGAAGAGTAGGGGGTGAGGGGAAGGAGGAAGAGGTGAGGGGAAGACTTAGGGTGAGATACTCCAGAGGGTGAGGGTAAGTGAGGGCATCATCTGAGGGTTACAAGTGTGTGTGTGTGGGAGACGTGAGGGGAAGATCTGATAATGAGAGGGAGAAGGGGAAAGGGAGGGACGGAGGGCAGTAGGAAGGGAGGTGTGGGTGTGTATAGTTGGGTGATGGGAGGGTAAGGAGCATAGAGGGACGGAAGGTGGGGAGAATAGAAGGGAGAGAAGGAGAAAAGGAGGAAGGAGGGAGGTAGGGAGGAGGGAAGGGGTGAAATCGATGGGTAAGGGAGAGGGGGGAGACAGAGTTAAAGGAGGGTTGGTGATGGATAGATGGGAGGAGGGGAGGAGGGAGGGGAGGGGAGGGAGGGAGGGAGGGGAGGCAGCAGGTCGACGTGATGGGGGTGCTGTAGAAGCTATCATGCTGGGTGGCAGGTCGACAAGATGCAGGTGGTTTGGTGGCCGGAAGACACGATGCAGGTGATGGATGACAGGTAGTGGGTGGTGGGTGGCAGGTAGTGGGTGATGGGTGGCAGGTAGTGGGTGGTAAGGTGGTGGATGGCAGGGAATGGGTGGTAAAGTGGTGGGTGGTAAGGTGGTGGGTGGTAGGGTGGTGGGTGGTAGGGTGGTAGGGTGGCAGGGTGGTGCTGTAGCCATGCTGGGTCCTACGAGGAACAGGGGCAGGAGGGGGAACAAAACTCAATCACAACTCGAAATTAGTGTGAGGTGGGTTGTGTGGGCTAGGTTAGGTGGGTCGGTTACTGTGAGGTGGGTCAAGTGGATAAGGTGGGTCGGTTACTCTGATGTGGGTTAAGTGGATTAGGTGGTTTGGTTACTGTGAGGTGGGTTGGTTAGTGTGAGGTGAGTCAAGTGATAGGTTAGTCAGGTGGGTTAGGTGGGCCGTGTGGGTTAGGTGGGCCGTGTGGGTTAAGTGGGGGTTGGTTGGCGTGAGATGGGTTAAGTTGAGAGAGAGAGAGAGAGAGAGAGAGAGAGAGAGAGAGAGAGAGAGAGAGAGAGAGAGAGAGAGAGGAAATCAGGTAATCCAGGTGGGCAATGAAGGCCTCAAGTGCCTCAATCACTGTCTTTATAACTAATTACCTCCTATAGACAGGTATATTACAGGTATATTTTAATTATCATCAAATTCTCGTGTTTCTTATTGGTGGGTATGGGAATAAATTGATATTTTTTCCAGTTATCCTACAATATTTATTTTAATTATTATTTTTTTATTATGTTTTGTATATTAAAACCTCAATACAATGTTATTATATACCTTCTGATTACAGTCATTTACAGTGATTACAAATGATTAAAAATAATGACTCATCAAAATGGATAGTGTCAATTTACTGTCTTTATTCTAATACCTGTAATTAACTAATAACCATAATATTCTTCTTCACACTAATTGAAGACAAATAATTGAGGGCCACGTGACTATTTTATCATCACCAATGTTTATTTATTATCCATTTGTATTGATCTTTTAATTAATACACTAATTACCTTAACAACACTACTTTAAAGTTTAACGTAGGGAAACTTTTTTTTTTTTTAGAATCATTTTTGAACAAGTGAAGAAATATATAAGGTAAGGTCATGTGTAATTGTTTGTGGTACAGAAAAAAGAGGGTGTAGACAGAAAATGGGACGTCGACAGAAAATGGGACGTCGACAGAAAATGGGACGTCGACAGAAAATGGGACGCAAACAGAAAATGGGACTTTGACAAAAAAATGGGACGTCAACAGAAAATGGGACGCAAACAGAAAATGGGACTTTGATAGAAAATGGGGCGTCGACAGGAAATGATTATTGGTGAAAGAGTGGGCGGATTTAGCACCAAATTTAATAAAATATACCTTTCTTTTTTTTTTTAGGGACTTTATATTGAAATCATTAACCAGTGATGCTAATGAGTGAAGCAACCTGATGAAGTTACTCACCACTGAATCACGCAAGGCGAAGGGATTTATTGAGGATATTGACCAATGATAACAGTGAGGAAACGGCTAGTGAGGAGACTTGAGGAGTGAGGAAATACTCACCCACCGATCAGGATATTAATGAGGATTAAAGAAAGATATGGACACATTAACACGGCTGGTAGTAAGGACACAGGCTAGGATATGGACACATTAACACGGCTGGTAGGCGATACAGGCTAGGATATGGACACATTAACACGGCTGGTAAGTGACACAGGCTAGGATATGGACACATTAACACGGCTATAGTATGACACAGGCTGGCTATGACACATTAATACGGCTGGGTAGTAAGGACAATATACAGGATATGGACACATTAACACGGTTGCAGTAAGGACATGTACAGATATGGACACATTAACACGGCTGGTGGTAAGCAACAGGCTAGATATAATACACAATGGCTGGTAGTAAAGGATACAGGCTAGATATGTGGACACATTAATGCTTGATGGTAGTAAGGACACAGGCTAAAGCCAAATTACCCACCAAGCCGTGTAGGATGACAAGGTCATTAACTATGCTAGAATAATTACAAAACAAAAATCAAAAATAGTTTCACACACACAAAAACAAAAAATAAAAAAATAAAAAAAGCACAAAAAATATTGACCAACCGGATAAAGAATGGATTAAAATAACTGAAGTGGAAGTGAGGGAGGTGGAGGCCGGGGGGTGGTGGGAGGGGGGGGGGGCAGGAGGAAGGTGCCGCAAGCTTGCAGGTGAGTGAGGGGGAGGGAGTGGAAGGGGGAGGAGGGGGGGTTATAGCACTGGAAACCTAGCCCTTACGTAGTTAAGTTCTATCTATCTCAAGTGATTAAACAAAGCGAGAATCTTTTAGCTTATATCTCTGTCAAGGCTGGAGTGAGCATACTGGTGATGGTGAGAGAGTGTTTCATGGTGTGGTGGTGTGGCAGTGTGTGGTTGTGTGATGGTGTGGCAGTGTGTGGTTGTGTGATGGTAAGGTGAGAGTTTCATGGTGTGGTTGTGTGGTAGTGTGTTAGGATGGTGGTGAGGTAGTATGGTGGGATGGTGGTGAGGTAGTATGGTGGGATGGTGGTGTGGCAGTGTGGTGGGATGGTTGTGTGGCAATATGTGGTTGTGTGATGGTAAGGTGAGAGAGAATTTCATGGTGTGGTTGTGTGGTAGTGTGGTGGGATGGTGGTGAGGTAGTATGGTGGGATGGTGGTGTGTGGTGGTGAGGTTGTGTGGTAGTGTGTGGTGGTGTGATATGGTTGTGTGGTTGCCTGGCGGTGTAGTTGGATAAGGTTGTGGCTATGTGGTTGCGTGGCTGAGTGGCAGTGTGGTTGCGTGGCTGAGTGGTAGTGTGGTTGCGTGGTTGTGAAGTGATGTCTGAATGAGTTCCTGCACTATGGATGTATGGTAAGACTATGTGGTGATAAACTGTCACTCAGACCCGTCAATGTGCTGATGACCGTCACTCAAACTATCAGTGTGATGACTGTGAGGATAACTGAGGGTTGTACATAGTAAACGTAACTATACTTTACCGGTTGTAGTCACAGTGTTGAAATAATAATAACAATATACAGATTAATGGTTAAACACATTACTGAAGGCAGGTCATAGCTCATATACAATCCTAATAATAATAATAATAATAATAATAATAATAATAATAATAATAATAATAATAATAATAATAATAATAATAATAATAATAATAAAATAATAATAATAATAATAACAGTTTGATATGACTGGACTTGCTGCTCTCAATACAAGTCGACCAAGCAAATGAGAACTTAAATTAGTTAATTATTAGCTTATGCAAGTAAAAGGCAAAATGCTACATGGACATGATCCTTAAGAGGCTTTACCAGGATTCTAGAGGTGGCCCGGTACTGGTGTGTGGGCCATGTGTGTAGACAACACCTTAATACTGTGTGTGTGTTGGGTCCATAAAATTCATGATATGTCACCTTAAATCCTTAAATTGAGCCCTAAACATGTACACAAAATCGTGTGTTCCGGAGTGATGATCTCCCTAAAACACCTTATTTTTGGTACAAGTTTAAGTTCAAGAGTTAAATGTTGACATGGCACTGGTTGTATGGCCTCAAGACACAGTATCAAGGAGATGTTTATACACACGTGGTCCAGACACGTGGACAGGGCCCACTACACACCCCTGATATGTCCTCTTAATTCAAGTCATGCTAAACCTATTACGAAAGGAAATTCATAGCATCACCCCACCATTCACGTCAAAGACTAGATGTTATCGTGCATGAGGCATGTGCAATACCTCGCAAAGTATCGTACATGTGTCTACATTCTAAATAGGTTATCAATTATAAGCTTGCAATTAATATTAGGCCATATTATAGTCATTCTAAACAGGCTATAGCAGTCAACTGTTAACAGCATAGTCGCAATTTTACCAACGGGTTAACTGAGTGAAGCTTTGATCCAAGCAATGGAAGATAACTCAACATAAAATAGTAACAAGAACCCTTAAAGTAAGACACTGAGTTGCCAAATGTATCCAGTGTGAGCATTATCATCTTAACAATCATTCTCCACTTACTTCTGCAGAGACAAACCAAAAGCAGCTCGAGCTAACACGAAATACGGTGAGGTAGACGTGACGACTCAAGACACTGCGGTACCCTAGCCCAGGCAGCGATGACCTGAGTGTATTGTAGTTATTATTGTAATATTATTCACAGCAACATCTGAGACACATTTGGGCAACACTCGTCCCCGCATGTGGAGGAGTGGGGGGGCGGGCACCTCTGCTGGGGGAGAAATGGGAGGAGGGGGGAGGAGAGAAGGAGGGGCGTCTAGAGAGGTGACCCTCGGGCCCCTCGTTACCTCCTCAAGGATCAAGGAAGAGGGAGTGACTTCTTGGCCCCGGGGAGGTGTGGTGTGGTGTGGTGTGGCCCGCTTGCCCTCTCGCCTAGGAATTTTATTTGGCTTAGGATTTACACTTGGAATAGGATTTTACACTGGGTAGTTTTGTGGGTGTCGCGAGCAGTGGTGTAGCCCGCCTGCCCCTCAGTGTAACTTGATGTACACCTGGATGTTCTCGTGGGTGTTACTGCTCTCTCTCTCTTTCTGTCTCTCTCTCTTTCTCTCTCTCTCTCGCACTCTCTCTCGCCACGATATAATAAACATCATCTTTCAGTCCTCACGACCACACCAAGTCTTCCGCCACCACCATCACATTAACTAGTTCCGTGCGTGTCTGGACTCATGACGTCACTCATCATAACACCGCCTTTACTGATTCATATACAAGATCATTTAACAGAAAAATGTCAACACCGCCACGAAACGTTCAACATTAAGGTGACAGGTGGTCGACTTTGATCCCTAAACAACTGACAGTGAGTTCACTTACATATCTGTCTCACCTGTGTACATGACCCATTGATAGTCGTTTATGGAGAGCAAGACACGTTGACCTCCTCCATCATCACTACTACAGACACATCTTCCTCCTGGTCGACACTCGGGGACCAATACACCACTTGGTTCCTAACACCGAGGTGGCACCCGTGGAAAACTGACACTCCACGTACAGTCCCCTTCACTAGTGCGTTTACAGGAGCTCGTCAGGTTTTGTGTTTGTTTACATTCGACAGAAGGAAACACGCACTAGTAAACATACTATGGAATCAAATTAAAGCAATATTAAATTAAATATTTCAATAATAATGATTTGTGGAATGTTTACATGACGAGCCCCTGTAAACACACTATCAACTCCTTAACCTAAACTAACACCAATCTAACGAAACTTACGACTTAAACTTTCTTAAAAATTACAAAAACCCAACAAATAAAAACTAACAACAAAAACAGTAAATATATGAATTAATAAATAAAAACCTCGCTAAAACGACCCCATGAATATCGAAGTTTTCCAGGAGTCCAAATTGTTGCTTCCGGATCATACAACATGGAGCCTAAAGTTACCATATTCCCCTTGTGTCTCTATCTCTCCCCCTCCCCCTGTCTCTCTAACTCTCCCCCTACACCCTCCCTCCCCTGTGTCTCTATCTCTCCCCCTCCCCTGTCTCTCTAACTCTCCCCTACACCCTCCCTCCCCCTGTGTCTCTAACTCCCCTACACCTCCCCTGTGTCTCTAACCCTTCCCCTCCCCCTCCCCCTGTGTCTCTAACTCCCCCTTCCCCCGGGTATATGTTTATCTTGTGAATGAGGCGGAGGAAGGGAAGTCGGCTGTAGAGGAAGACGGGAGAGGAGAGAGACGGAGACGGAAGGAAGTGTCGTGCGTGCCGGTAATGGAACACGTGGGAGGAGGGAAGGAGGGAGGGGAGACGAACCTACAATATTGTTCCAACATCCGCTATTATTGGTAGTCGTCTTTTGTGGTCCGCCATATTGATCTGTCGCGTCAATATTGTGCTGTGTGTGCATTAATATACAGTACCTTAAAGGGGGGGGGGGTACCTTGACGTGTGCTACCCATTACCCTTTGTGTGTTACCCCCTACCCTTTGTGTGTTACCCCCTACCCTTAGTGTGTTACTCCCTACCCAATTTTATTACAATAACCTACACCCTTTTACAATACCGATTACAATACCCTCTACCCTATTACATTACCCTCTACCCTATTACAATACCCTCTACCCTATTACAATACCCTATACCCTATTACAATACCCTCTACCCTATTACAATACCCTCTTCCTATTACATTACAATACCCTCTACCCTATTACAATACTCTCTACCATATTACAATACCCTCTTCCTATTACATTACAATACCCTCTACCCTATTACAATACTCTCTACCCTATTACAATACCCTCTTCCTATTACATTACAATACCCTCTACCCTATTACATTACCCACTACCTATTACATACCCTCTACCCTATTCATTACAATACTCTTACCCTATTACAATACCCTCTACCCTATTACAATACCTCTTCCTATTACATTACAATACCCCTCTACCCTATTACAATACCCTCTACCCTATTACAATACCCTCTACCCCTATTACAATACCCACCTCTTCCTATTACATCAATACCCTCTACCCCTATTACAATACTCTCTACCCTATTACAATACCCTCTACCCTATTACAATACCCTCTTCCTATTACATTACAATACCCTCTACCTATTACAATACTCTCTACCCTATTACAATACCCTCTTCCTATTACATTACAATACCCTCTACCCTA